GGGATATAACTAAATTCGACATTGTCTTACTTCTCGCAAACTGGAGCAGCTGTCGACGAAAATACTGAAGTAAAATTCCCACAGACATGAACTTATTGAGTTGTGGGCCAAAAGAGTCGAACATTTCGGGAATTTCGGAAGCCATTTCCCCGCGCTACATCCGCAAATCCTCGCAGAATGTATGCGCGTGTACCGCAGATGATGGCGCAATTTGTTCTAACAATAGAAAAATTGTCCCATATCATGGGGACAGCCCCAGTACTAGAAATGGCGCGCGCTTACGGTCTCCGTCCCCGATTATGGCTCCTGCCCTCATTCAGGAAATAATATCATACTCATAATCTTACATTGAATCTTGGAAAAAACTCTCAGAATTTGATGTTCTTACTTGTTAGTAGGCTCAAAACAGAGTCAGTTTCCTCTCTGCTTTCAATCGAGGCCAGCCTGCCAGTGTCTTTTGCGCAGCGAAGGAGGGCAGCATCCCAGCTTGCCGTTGTGTTGTGGACAGAAAACCATGATCGACTGGTGGCAAAAGGGAGCTTAAAGTAACCCTCCGGGCGGTAAGCTAGAAAATGTGATAAAAAGGGGAAATTCGCCACAGTCGATTTTGAACAATACTTAATACAGCGGTTTTCAATTTAGTATCCTACTGACCTAAACCAAACCACAGTTACTTACCAATTAGACTACTCAGCAAATCTCAAACCATAGTAAAACCAAAACCAAAGCCAAAGTAATTACCTGATTACTTTCGACACTCAGCTGAAAACTGCCCTATTTAGACTATTTGGTGAAAATGATCAAGTTATAGTTTTCATCAACAGCGAGAAATTCCCATGTTATAGCGTAGGATTTATTACATGGAACATAATACTTACCTTCCGGAGCAGGATCAGAGATTCCTAAGAAAAAAATCACACGATGGTGAGATCAGGAAAACGCGCAAGGCAAAAATGTTTTCAAAATTTCATCCCATGTAGACGGTCATATAGTATTATTTCAATTTTTGTGCGCAGTAATATACACACTATTGACATACAGAATTAGTCCGCTAATACCCTGTGGCTAGAGACAAAAAAATGTACATTAAAGAAAACCCTGCCTGCATCATGAAATAAAATGAGAACTTACTAGAGTTATAAGATTGTCATCTCTTTGAATTCTTCTATGTCTGTTAAACAACTGTTTTGATCAACTAGCCGTACATATAGATTAATCATAATATTTAAAAGTCCAAAATACATCCCAGTCTCTATCGAACGGGGGAGTCAAGAAGTCAATCAATCAATCAATCAATCAATCAGATGGTACACGAAAAGAGCAAAGGATGTAAAAAGTTGCCCTGCTCCTTGTCAGTAGTCTTTTGTTTGCACATTACAAAGCAAGTTAGAGGTGACATTAGACTTTAAAATCCTTTGGGCTAAAATGTCTTTTTTCATGTGACATAAGTTACATGCCATTGCGTTAAAAAATTTAAGTTGTCTTCGCATTTTGTGACGCTAAAAACAGTAAGTAGCATTGAAAACTGTACAACATAGGTTTTGAATAAAACGCGTTGTCGCTGAATTTCACTGACCTTCTACAGGAAGGACGTTTTCCTTGATGTTGCCTTCATCACTCTCTTTACGGTTAAAAAATACTGATATGAAATATTTTTCCCAGATACCCTGCATGTCCCTTGGCACTTCCAGCTCCCTTCGCTATGCCAGCTCCTACGCATGTGCTGTTTTTCCAAACCATCTGAGCAAACGGCGGCAACTTAACTGTCAACTTGGGATCGGCCCAGTCAAAGAACTTCACACCGGCATACCACTTGGCTGCGCATGCCTTAACGATGTCAGTTTCCGTTTGATGACTACACACCAGTTGTCCGTATATGGAATAGGGATCTATCCTTTCTGTTCCAACAGTTGCGAGCTGTAGTGCCCAGCTGCGGGCTAACTGGTTAAGTTCATTGGAGGAGGACACGTAGGATGCTTGGTGTAGTTTCCGGAAGAGATTTATTTGATACACTAGATCCTTTCTAAATTGGCCTGGAAAATACAATTTGAATGACTGGAATTAAGTCGAATGTCCTGTTCTTATTAGCTTTTGTGATAGAAACCGACGTTTCGGTGCATCTTGCGCCATTATCAAGGTTACATAGTTAAAGAAAAGAAGCGGTTTGTTTAATCAGTTGCTCCATGTAGGAAAAGAGACAGAGAACCACGTGAAGTTTTAAAATCAGTTAAACACAGAAAAGTAAGAGGCAGAATTAAACATTTCTTGAGGAAAAGTGTTCCCGTTTCATCTGTTTTATTCACTGTGGCTACCAGATGTGAACTATGGATTGTCAAGCTTGCTCATGAAGAAGAGTTTGTTTTTACTCGATTTTTTTAAACAAAATTTGAACAAGAAATTAAAAGTGTTGGTCTTCTGGTAGGAATTATAAATGTTATCCAGAATTTTTGTCCGAGTTCAGTTTGATAATAAGAACTACCTCTTGTCAAAAAAGAAGCTTTTGTTACCTGGAGACATTGAATTAAACCCAGGTCCTGCAGAGATTCCTAATCCACTTACCTACGGACGTAGATTCATGTACTCATCGAGCACCTACTTTTTTTCTGTTTGTTACTGGTGTATAGCATCTTCCCATTTTATCTTCTCAGGTTGAGTGGCTGAACAGTGGCCTTCGTCCGTCTATTCGGCTTCAGTGTTGGTTACGTTAGTAAGGTTACGAGCAAGGTAGGTAGGTGTCGAGGGCTCAAACCATATATAATACGGGAGCTAAATGGACCCTCGTTGATTATTTTAATGTATATAATAAAACTCATATATTCTCTAGTTGTAATCCACGAGAGAAGAACTTCGTAAATCCGTCAACGTTTTTTAGCGCAATGAAGTTCTCAGACCTATGACCATTGTTCCCTTCCATTCCGCAAGAACAAAAAATATACTTCTAGCGTCGATAACGCGATACAGACTGTTTGTTTAAAATATGATTCTTCGAAATTCTGACTTTAGGTCAACTATTCTCACAAAGAATTGCAATTTAACTAAGATTAAGGCTCTATGTCTAAATTTTTTATGGCAGCTTTAAAAAACTTAAGAAGGGATTAGTAACGATTGAAACTACGCTGAAATATATGAGAGACACGTGATTGAGAGAATAGAGTCCTCTTTATTCTTTTCTATATATACAAACACAAGCATTGATCAACGTTCGGGGACACGTTCGGGCAAGCGCGGGTCCGGAAATGAACACCGCTGGTCTACCACCGAAATAGATTGATTTAAGGAAAATTGATTAGTATAGTAAAACTTGCTGTCGTCTGTCCTTTAAAATAAAAAGTGACTCTACCCAGAGTTCATCGACCTATTTTCATCATGACTAAATCATGATTAATATACATCGATTCTATGGCTAAAAATTTCCAATTTGTTGCATTTCAAATAAGCACAACGTAACAAAATGAACTGTTCGAAAGTTCTCCGCGTTCCTCTCAACATCAAACCAGTGGCACTATTCAGTAAGCAATGCTAAATGCAATTTTAAAATAAAATGAAACTTTTTTTCAGTTTCAACTAGATAGCCTTAGTGAAAAGATGCAAACAACACTAAAATTGAGATTAGAATTTGTGTATTTTGACGCGTGATCTCCTTTTGGAATTGCAGCAGTTGGAAGAGCAGTATGGAGGGCAAAAGTTGACGTTCCTAGTGCAGGCGACTGGACATTGCCATGGATTTTGGCTGGGGTAGATGGGTTCGGGCTGCCCGTAAACCACTGGTGATGGATATTGCATTTGATGCGACGAAGACGTCGGTGTGCAGCAGCTGGGATCACAGCCTGCTTGGCAAGCAGTACTCACACATTGATTTGGACAGTATGACGAGCCTGAAATCCAAATAAGAAGCCGGTTTAATTTAGGACAGGAATTGAAGAAATACTGGTTTGAGCATAGTTCTCGTTCCCGAACACGTCCTTAAAGCGGTTTAGGGCCTGTAAAAATGCTTGCTCTGTTCTAAAGAGAAGCAAAGATGACTGCAAATACCATTTACTCCATTTAAGCATCATGCTAAGACATGCGACATGATTATAACTCAGAACTGATATAGTTGTGATCTAGATCAATCGATAAATATCATACAATGCATCGTTTACTTGAAAAAAATTTGTAGTTGACGGTTCTGTCAGTAACGTAATCTTTGGCGTGTACATAAAAGTTTTTACTTTTCACTTACAGCCCTGATATGCATACATTGCGCTAGACTTTTACCTGGCTTGAGAGTCTTGACAGAGATAAGTTTTGCAGACGCTCCGTTTGACAGCTCAAGTTCTCCGTCGTTTTCTTTGATGCTGATTTGTAGCGACTGTATGGAATCAGAACTAGCCTCTGGACCAAGCCTCAAAATAACCTCAACATGTGATACACCATTTGGCAGGCACCTGAAACGACATTTAAAAATTTTGTTTTTCGTTTTAGGGTTTATTTCCCCTCATCAGCGTATCACATTTGGACTGCTTATCTATTGAACGACATCTCTTTAGGTGACACAATCTTTATATCATTTTACGTTGTTTGGATTTTATTCTATAATGTAAAAGGTTGCCTGATAAACAACAGAAGGAACCAAACTGCAACTGACTGACAGCTCATTCTCAATCCTGGAAGTTTCATGTAAGAAAAAATTACAAAATCGATCAACTACTTGTACTCCAATGAAAAGAATGTTTCTAATGAAACTGTTGTGCTCCGTCTGCGAGACAGTCATCTTTTTTATCATGAGAATCATCAGCCTGAAGTTGACTAAAACCGAAATCAATAGGCCTATTAGGAAAATCAACCAATCAATTTGTCAGCCAGTTAGACTGTCGATTAGTTGCTTAGTTAGTCCGTTAGTCAGTTTATTTCTCACCGTCAGTCAGTTACACAGGCAGTCAGTTAGTCGATCATTCAGTCTGTCGGTCAATAAATCAATTACTCAGTCAGTCGGTCAGTCAGTCAGTCAGTCAATAAATCAATTAGTCAGTCAGTCAGTCAGTCAGTCAGTCAATAAATCAATAAGTCAGTGAGTCAGTCGGTCAGTTAAACAGTCCGTCAGTCAGTCAGTCAGTCATCAGTTACTCAACAGTCAGTCAGTCAGACAGTCAATCATGAGCAATCAAATAGTCAGTCAGTCAGTAAATCCATCAATCGGTTCATGAAGTCACCTGATTGTGTTCACTATCGGCTGGACCGTAATATTCTTTGCTTGGAAATAACGAGTAATCTGAAACGGAAAAAAATGTTAAGTAGATTTATCATTATAACTTAATTTATATGGTTTAAATCATTTTAAATATTTTTTCAACACATTGGAACGCCAACATAACCACGTACACACATGTAAATGCCAAGTGACTAGGAGAGTATGTTCGTTATGTTTATGCTAAAGGAGGCTCGTTATCAACTAATCGTCGTCAAAACGATTTTATGGGAAAACGGCCAAATTCTTGCTTAAATCGTGATTTTGTTGATAAGTATTTTCTTTAAATGCATAGGAAGCTCTTTTTCTTGCTTAGGAAATTGATATACAAAAACGACCTACCGTCTCTCTGAGCAGATCATTTACACTCTGGATAACAGGTGTACACATAGAGTAGTAGCTTGCAGGATAGACAGACTGAGAGTAGACTGGGTTTTGGTAGGACTGGGTCGGCTGCTGCTCGGTTAGGTTGAAAATCAATTTATAGAATGTGTAACCTGACAGAGAGAAACCACTGTAAGTAGGCGGGCGGAGAAACAAAACAAGTGCAGTTAAGAAATCATTATAATGATTCAATTAAAGCATAAGTATTTTGAAATTCCAGTTAGCTTTTATTCTTTCTGTAAAATTAGCGGAAAGGGGAGGCTTATAGCCAAGAGAAAGAGGCCCCTTTCTGTTCAATACGTACTGAACACGTAGTGCAGTCATTCGTTCTTTATATACCTGCGGACCGATATGGGATTTATTCATGCAAAACAATTGAAGGCCTAAACATAATTTGTGTATAGTCTTTTTTTTTTTTCCTTTTTCTGCGCAAGGAAATTCTCCAGATTAAGCGCAGTCTGTCATTTAGATTTTAAGGTAATAAAAATAGTTTCGTTACCAGGCAAGGACACTTCGCAGACAAAAGCCTTGGTATCAAAGCAATGCTTGTCAGCCCAACCTGGCCCGAATTCGCCTTTTGCTTGCACGATACAGTTCTCAGCTGCACTGCCGTCAGGTTCTCCAGGTAGCCACTCAGAAAACGGGATTGGTGATCCATCAACCCACACGTACCGGCCCTCCGTTGAACGGTCATGCAGTCCAATCCAAGCTTCCGTTACGTTGGATTCTATAACAACAAGTATGGGTTAAATTTAACTTTGTGAAGGGGCTATATACCCACATCAGTTTGTGTCGGGATTAAAGTCAAATCAGTTTTGGGTCGTTTTATGTTCAATTTCAAGGTTATCTCTTCATATTGGGCATGTATTACATTTAAGAAAATATTTTTTCAAAAGATAAAGTAGGCCATCAAACGCCTGCTCCCTTGAGAAGAAGGCAGACATGGCCATCACACCATTAACGAAACTTACAACTTCCTATACATATTGCGTTTTGCGTTGTATTTTGCTGCAATAGAACGCTCTTAGAATACTTCACCATGGCAGTTTTGGGCCTGAGCAGCCACGTATTTCTAATTCTCTTACTTGTCAGCAAGCCCACAATTAAGTCAGCTTCCTCTCTGCTGTCAATCGAGGCTAGCGTTCCATTGTCTAGTGCGCAACCAAGAAGTGCGTCATCCCAACTTACAGTAGTGTTGTGGACAGAAAAACACGATCGACTGCTGCCCATAGGCAGCTTAAAGTAACCTTCTGGACAGGAAGCTAGAAAATAATCAGTTAAATATACGAAAATCAACACTTAAATATAACTAGCAAGTAAGTAACCGTACATAGAGAATGAAGAAGCCCACGAGCGAGCGAATGAAAGATGGATGGATAGACGGACGGAGAGGTGGATGAGTAACTGATAATTGGAACAACCAGTCTGTCAGCCAGCCAAGAAAATAAAATATTAAAATTATCGCACCTGGTAAATCTGCCCCCGATTACATCAGTTGCATACGAGCAAGTGCAAATATTTCATTCCAATAGATTAAACATTTAAAAACAGCGACGCAATGTTTGAGTTTATGAGATTCATCGCAATCGGTTTTGATCGATTGTTCACTCGCAGTACTAAAGAAGTTTATAGATCACACTCGTTACCAACCAACACTCTATTAGCCACAATAAATGGTTAGGTTATAGTCCAGTACATAACACCCAGTACTAACCCTCCGGAGCAGGTAGTGAGATTCCTGCGATAAAAATAACATAATAGTGAGATAACTCATAGTAAATATTAAACTGAATTAAAAAATGAAAATTTCGCCCCAAAATGTTACAGTTTTCCACAGTAGCATACAAACAGACTAGAGGATTTGAACTGTGATAGAGAATACTAGGAACTCCGCGATGCATGATGTGATCAAAAGTAGAAGTAGCTGACGGCAAGTAGACAACGAATATGATAAAAAAATTATGATGGCTCGCAAAGGAAACAAAGAGAACGCGATGCACTTCAGAAAACAAATGTCAATCATGAGATTCACTGTAATAAAGTGCGTCTATAAGCTACTGACCAAGCGTAACAGAGCGGAGCGTAACTGACCTGCTGCAGGGAGGACGTTTTCCTTGATATTGCCTTCATCACTCTGTGCAGGGTCAAAAAATGCAGCGATGAAATATTTTCCCCCGATATTCCGTCTCTTGGCACCTCCACCTCCTTGAGCTATGCCAACTCCTACGCGTGTGCTGTTTTTCCAAACCATCTGAGTAAACGGAGAGGACTTCACTGTCAACTTGGGATCGGCCCAGTCAAAAAACTTGATAGCGCTGTACCACTTGACTGCGCATGCCTTAGGGAGATCGCTTCCGGCGTGGTGGCTGCACACCAATTGCCCATATTTGGAACTGGGATCTATCTTTTCAGCTCCTTCAGCTGCAAGCTGTTGTGCCCAAGCACCGGCCTCCTTGTCAAGCTCTTCAGAAGGTGAAACATCTGAGGATTGGTGGAGTCTTCGGAAAAGGTTTATTTGATCCACTAGATCCATAAGTAATTGTTCTAGAGAATATAATTTCAGTTGCAAAATTAAACAGTACATATTAAAAGAGTGAAAAGAGAACGTGAAAGGAATAAAAACTAATAATCAGTGAGTTATGTGTGGTTAGGACATCGTCTCATTTTCCCAGAGCATACTCTCTCTTAACAGACACCTCCATAAGACGAACACCTCTTTAGAACGGACAGCGGGCGCTATGAAGTAGTCAACAGCCATCAGAAAATTCCATCTTCGATAAAAAAGAACTTGTGCGAGAAAATCGACGTGTCATATGAAGAGGTTTAACTTTAAAACGTAACTTGGATTTGTGAACTCTACATAAATTCGAGGAACTACTTTACCGCCTTTTTACTTTCATGACAAGTGAAGAACCATGGCTGTATGCAAGGAAACTGTTTAAAAGGCATTTTAGTTGTTGGTCTGGAAACCAATGTACAAGATGCTGGGTTGTAAAACTGTATATAGCTTATGGCGTAATTGGCTCATTAATTCGCTCTTAGTTGTAAATTTAAAGATGAATTTTAGATGAACTGTGGTTTAAGAAAGGCTCTCTGTCTGTTTGTCTGTTTGTCTGTCAGTCTGCCTGCCTGCCTGCCTGCCTGTCTGCCTGTCTGCCTATCTGCTTGTCTGCCTGTCTGCCTGACTGCCTGTCCGCCTGTCCGCCTGTCCGCCTGTCTGCCTGTCTGCCTGTCTGCCTGTCTGCCTGTCTGCCTGTCTGCCTGTCTGCCTGTCTCTCTGTCTGCCTGTCCGTCTGTCTGTCTGTCTGTCTGTCAATGAAGATCATAAAAGAAACTTACTGATATCTGGCATTGGACCTGGTGCCGCCGTGGTTACAGCAGTTACAGGGGCTGGGGTTGTAGGAGCTGTTAAAATAACGAGAAAGAAAAACAGACAAATTACTACAGCATCTACGGTTTTTGCAAAGTCTGCAAACATACTTGTACTTTCTTTTTGGTTTACACTCGAGCCTTTAGGCATAACTATGATGTAACGTACAGTACAGGACTAAATGTTTCATAATGTACCATGGGCAATAAAAATATTTGTTCTAAATGTTTTTATTGCCCATTTTAGGAAGTAAACTAAAATTACCGTCTTTCTCCTGCTAAGACTGTCAAGATTAATTTTGTTGTTAGTTAAGCTTTTATTGCTCGCTTCCTGAGTTTTACGATAAGCTCATGGAACGTCATCGGTTTTCTAACTAACTAGCAGTAAAATAGATCAAAGTTAATATAAATTCCCTCTAGAGCCATGCTTCCTCTGTCGGGATTCAGTTTCGTGTTCTTATCAGACTGTTTTCAGCCAAGCACAGTACTGATTAGTATCGCCCAGTCCCATGACAAGTATTGCAAATTTTCCAAGAAACATAAGCTCACTTCTCTTTCATGAGAATTGCAAACCGTGTCGATTAATTAACTGGCACAGAATATTGTCTCTCTTAAATGCATCTACAGTTATTTACTAGAAATGTCAACAAAACCGTACAAGGCAGCAACAGAAGAGCGTTCAATGCACATTTTACATTACTTTATATTTTACTCCGTAATGCGCCGTGGGGATATGATCGACAATCACGCCAATAAGCAAATAAATTTGTTTTTTATGTATATAATTTTTCTAATTGAAACGGAAAAAAGAAGATTCATTTAAGGCTATGTGATTCCAGCCAAAGAGCGCACAGCCGAGAAACGCTTTAAGAAGTTTGGTTTAGCTATTAATAATGACGTCACGGATCAGAGTCTGCACCAGTCACAGTCACAGTCACACTCCCTGTCTCCTGAGGATTAACTATCGTGAGCCCATATGTTGCTACGTGAATGGAGATGTTTTGCAGAAATTCGCGGCAATGCACGGTGTTTGCCATAGTCTCCCAAGACTATTTTTTCATAACCCTATAATTCTCTATTAAGTAGTTCGGGTGACAAAAAGAATTCTATTTATTCATCTGTCTATTCGAGAAAGCAATCTTTTGTAAGGAAAATGAGTAATGCTAAAAAGAAGCACTAGAGAGGCGTGAATTGAATGTCGAAAGAATGAATCCACATCCTCTCTTCGTTAACAACCCAGTATCATGCAGTCATCACTGTCGCAGTCAAGTCAAATTCAGCGTGTGTGATATCGTCTTCAGTCTGTTTGGCCTTGTTCCCAATGTGCTTATGAGTTACCAGGCATCTCATGCAGTCGAGGTGAATAACTGTTATGTAATATAGGGACCAGAGATGGATATCACAGAATTTTGCGCCATAATGGGAAAATCATCTTTCGGAGCATTGAGGAGTCACTGTTGCTCGTGGGGCCAATCATTATCTGTGTAAAATAGGCATTCTATTTTTTTTTTCTTGTTCTTTTCTTTAACTTTGAACTTTTCTGCGGCTGCTTTAAAATTGAACGATATTTGCGACTGATATTTTAAACACGTAACGACGCTTTGAGTTTTTGAATTTTACACTGAAACATACTTAAGCTTTTCTGAGTCAAATCAAGCTAGTTTTGCCATGACAAATAATTTTGTACTAAACTGTTGACATTTAAATGTCTATAAAACAATATAAATGAAAAATAAGCTTTCCTCAACAAGTTCGAACCGGCCTTCATCTGTGGTTTTGCTGCGGTCTCAATAATCAAGTCCTTATCACGTACAATTCCAAGGTTTAAGCTATTGTTGTCCTAAGGCGTTACTGAGTTTTCTGTATACAGTTCTGAAACTCGTCGCATGATATTTTATGGTTCGAGAGAAAAGTGCGCTTCAACTGGGTTGATTGACAACAAAATATTTTTTTTCCGGTTTTATATCTTATATGGCTCAGCTTATCTCAGCTTAGTAACCACCTCCCGTAATCGAGACTTCTTGACTAATTAAAATGAAGGATTCTCCTATCCACCTCTGGACCTTATACATAACAGAAATATTACCTTGGCTAGAGGCTGCGGACGTTGAACTACCGGCACCTGTTGTAGGAGCTGCAGTGGTCGCTGTTCCAGTAGGAGTTGCTCCGGCGGTAGCTGCTCCGGTGGTAGATGCCCCGGCGGTAGATGCCCCGGCGGTAGATGCCCCGGCGGTAGATGCCAC